ATAAGAACCTCAAGAGAATTTGTTACCTGTGGTGAAGTAAACCAAAATCATCTCAAATTAATATAAAACACCATAAACTGGATTATTACAATTAGGGCATCTGACCAGAACCAAAACTTTACTTCTATGGAAAGATGTTTCTACACAAGAGTCTTCATGTTTGATAACAATTGGATTTCTTTGTTGTGTATCGTTAGTAGTTAATCTCTTCCTAACAGCCGGGTTTATCAGAATGTATTGTAGCAGGAAGAAGCGAGTCTGATGTTGCAGCCAGCACTGACTAAAAGCTTACAGCCAGTGCTACTCCATTAAATAGAGGCTTTGCTAGCATAAATAACATACACTCTGAAGTTTAAAGGGATACCACAAAGACTTTAATGTATCATTTTTCTCTGTGGTTAATAACTCAGTTCTTCATTTTTGTCAGCTTGTACAAGAAAACTAGACCAGTCAATTCCAATTTTTTTTCTTTTATGTTACAATCCACTAACGGTCAGTTTCACTTTGTCTCATGCCTTAGCCCTTGAACAAACAAGGAGAATGCTATATTATACAACATCTCACAGATACTTTCTATAATTTTAAGATCATACATGCTGAACTCAGCAGACTCCATACACGGCAAACAAAATAACAAATAACATCCTTAGTCTAGCAGAGTCTCAGTACTGGAGGACTGGATAGCATGGAGGTCAGTAACTCAATATGGAGCCTTTCACATCTAAGATACTGGTTCAAATCTGATCGAGGTTAGTAGTGACAGAGAGCCCTTTGCTGTAAGACAGCTGTTCATTGGCCTATGTAAAACAGTCAAGTGGCTGTCAGTGTTTTAACTACCATGTTGTCTCTCTATGCATGGAGCAGGTCAATGCACCTGGTGGTTGCATTTCCAATAGTCTCTTGTGGCTAGTACCTGCGGTGGGTGGAAAATTTTTAGGACAAGGTGTATAGACTAGACCAATTATTGCCAGTTTTTGCAGAGGCACCAAAGATTGAATGGTAATGAGAACTGAATTACTTTTTCCCTCTTAGAAATGACCGTTCCTAGTCAAGTTTGAGGCATTCTAACAGTATAGGGAAACTTGCACTGTGACTACTGTACCTGCTGTATGGATAGAGAGCCACATGCTCCTCCATTTGTCAACCTGAGCGGGACAGGAATAGTTCCTGAGCATAAAAGGCTCTTATTAACTAAAAGAGACTATAAAGTGTTGTAATGCTTTTAGCTAATAATAATGGCAATGGTGAAGCCACCAGAAAATTCCTACAAGTATCTTAAACCTGCAAGTGCTTGAGCACTTAAACATTTTGAAAGGCAAACTTTAAGAGCGATCTTTATTCAGAAGAGTGTGCAAAATCCTTATCTTCACTGCTTATTAGCCTGAGGGTATGTCTATGCTGGCAGAGTTTCTTCGCCAGCAGCTACATTGCTGCTCAGAGAGCACTGAAGGGAAACCGCTGTTGTGTGTTCACACTTTCAGCTGCCTGCACAATAGTGTGTTCATTAGTGTGTTCGGCACTTGCATCGGTATTCAGAATGGTGCACTCTGGGCAGCTATCCCACAGAGCATCTCTTCCTCTTCTGCCACTAAGTATTGTGGGAAGGTGGAGGGGGTCACCGGGCATACAGGGTCCTGTCCCAAAGCCCTGTGATGCATTGCTTCCCAACCCAGCAATACCTGTGCTTCCATCTGCATTTGGCGCCATCTTTCAACGGTTTGTGTATTGCGTGCTCTGCCTCTTCGGTCTGCAGGAATGGATCTCAAACTGATGACCAATATGCTGCTTGCTCTCACTAACACGTGAGTGGCAGTGGAGTTATTCCTTAAACTACAAAGGCAAGAGGTGTCCGACGTTGATCTCGCCACACGTAGTAGCTACGACATGAATTGCTAGTGGCATTCACGGAGGTGCTGACAACAGTGGCACACTGCTTTTGGGCCCGGGAAACAAGCAGTGAGTGGTGGGATCACATCGTCATGAACATCTGGGATGACAAGCAGCGGCTGCAGAACTTTCAGATGAGGAAAGCCACTTTCATGGGACTGTGTGATGAGCTCGCCCCAGCCATGCAGTGCAAGGACATGAGAATGAGAGCTGCCCTGTCGTTGGAGAAGCACTTGGCGATTGCACTGTGGAAGCTGGCTACTCCAGACTGCTACCAATCAGTCGCTAACCAGTTTGGACCGGGGAAAGTCTACCTTTGGACTTGTGTTGACGGAAGTGTGCAGGGCCATTAATCGCATGCTGCTGCAAAAGACCGTGACTCTGGGCAACGTGTGTGACATTGTGGATGGCTTTGCACAAATGGGCTTCCCTAACTGCGGAGGGGCGATAGATGGCACGCATATTCTAATTCTGGCACCAGACCACCTAGCCACCGAGTACATTAATTGGAAGGGGTATTTCTTGATGGTTCTCCAGGCGCCTGTGGATCACTGTGGGCGTTTCATAGATATTAACACAGGCTGGTCCGGAAAGGTGCATGACGCTCGCATCTTCTGGAACACTGGCCTGTTCAGGAAGCTGCAAGCAGGGACTTTCTTCCCAGACCAGAAGATCACTGTAGGGGAAGTCGAAATGCCCATTGTAACCCTGGGAGACCCTGCCTACCCCTTAATGCCATGGCTTATGAAGCCATACACGGGGAACCTTGACAGCAGCAAGGAACGGTTCAACAATAGGCTGAGCAAGTGCAGAATGACTGTTGAGTCTGCTTTTGGCCATTTAAAGGCTCACTGGTGCTGCCTATATGGGAGGCTGGACCTGGCCAATGACCATATTCCTATGCTTATAGCCACGTGCTGTGTACACCATAATATTTGTGAAGGGAAGGGTGGAAGCTTCACTCAGGGCTGGACCATTGAGTCTCAGTGCCTGGATGCTGAATTTGAACAGCCAGAGACCAGGGCTATTAGAGTGGCGCAGTGCAGGGTCATAAGGATCAGGGATGCCCAGAGGTAGCAATTTGAAGCTGAAAGCCACTAATATTTGTTGCTATGCTTGGGAGTGCAGTGCTTGTAATGCTAGGAGGTGATTGTGATTGGTGCAGACAATGCACTGTGAAGGTTTAAGAAAATTGTCTGTTGCTTTCCTTTCAGTTAATGGAATAAAGATTGCTTTCAAACCAAAACAGTTTTTTTTTTTTAAAAAACAACAACTGGAGGAGAGAGACAAACAAAAAAACACATCAGCACTGAGGGGGATGGGGGAAGGGAGGGTCCCAGGGGGAGGAGGGGTCCCAGGACGAATAAAGATTTGTGTATGTCCAGGTATCCTATGCAACCTTGTCCTTTGGAGTACAGTGCAGTGGATACTGTACTTCAGCAGGGCTAAACTGCAGAGGGATGGATGTTGAGTACAGTGGGTACTGGGAGTCCGCAGGGCTGGACTGTGACAGGGCAGGTGTGGAATGCAGCGGGTACTGACTGGAGCAAGGATGTTGACAAGAGTGTGTTGGCGGTGTGTGTGTGGGGCGCATGGAAAAGAGTTTTGCGACAGCGGCTGCATGGGAGGGTAGGCGCAGAGTTGCTCGGTTTGCAGTGCTAGGACCGCCTGAAGCGTGTCCGCTTGGCGCTCCATCATGTTTAAGAGCCGCTCCGTGGCTTCGTTCCGGCGCACCACGTTCTCCTTTTGTTCTCTCTGCTCGCTGTCCCGCCACTCGTTCATTTCTTGTTTTTCTGCCGCGGAGTGCAGCATGACATCATGGAGAAGATCCTCTCTACTTTTTCGTGCCGCTTTCTAATTCTGCGCAGCCGTTCAGCCGGCGATAACAAAGAGAGAGGCTGGGCTCCCAAAGCCATATATGCGAAGCCAAAATGCAACATTTTACAGAAGCAATATTATTTGCAACCCACAGACCACTGTATCAGTGTTTTAAAACACAACCCCTATTCACATACCTATCACTAACTGGCTGACCCCAGGCAAGCACACATGACCCACAAGACCCCCAAAATGGTGAGTAGCTGCAGATGCAGGGGAATTCAGTGTTCCAGGACAATACTGGGCACGTGGCTCTTGGGGAGAGCCAGCACTGTAGGGGAGGGGCATAAAAATCATTCCTGTTCCCACATTTTCCACAGGCTGTGTTCATTATGGAGGGAGGGATAGCTCAGTGGTTTGAGCATTGGCCTGCTAAACCCAGGGTTGTGAGTTCAATCCTTGAGGGGGCCACTTGGGAATCTGGGGCAAAATCAGTACTTGGTCCTGCTAGTGAAGGCAGGGGGCTGGACTCGATGACCTTTCAAGGTCCCTTCCAGTTCTAGGAGATGAGATATCTCCATTATTTCTATTTCTATTTCTATCTCTTGCTGCTCAGGGTGAACAGGGAATCAAGGGGAGGGTCTTCTCCAAGAGTGTCACTTCCACCCTGGCCCTTACGCAGCTCAAACTAATAATCCTTTGCACTTCTGTGGCCTTTTTCCTCCCAGGAGCTCAAAAAACTTCATAAGCAGTAACACATTTACCTTTGAACACATCTATAAAATAGGTAAGTAGTACATCCCTTAGTTTACAGATTGGGAAACTGAGGCATAGATGAAACAATTTGCCCAAGTTTACATGCACAGTCTGTGGCAGAGCAAGGTGCAGATCCCAGATCTCTTGGCTTCCAGTCCTGTGTCTTGACCATAAACCGTCCTTTTACCCTGTTTTAGCTGTTCATTTAGATCTTTACAATATAAATAACTATTTCCTGGTGTTTTGTCTATACAGGCAGTCCTCGGACTTACGACACAATTGGTTCCTTAAAATTGCTTCGTAAGTCGAAACGTCGTAACTCGGAACCGCAGTCCACTCCATTGCGGGACCGAGCATCGTAAAGTCAAAACCAATTGTTGTAAGTCGAATCGGTGTCAATTCAGAAACGCCGTTAGTGCCGTTTGTCGTAAATGTCATAAAGTCGAGGACTGCTTGTATACATTTTGTTGAATAGCTTAATTGATTTTTAATTATGAAAGAAGAATGAAAAAATATATAACAGCTGTTCTTATTTTCAGTATTGACATGTTAAAGTCCCCTGATAAAGACGAAGATCCAGAGATTATTTCTGAAGACAGCAGCCTAGTAACTCTTCGGTATGTTGGATTTTGATGCCATTATCAGAACCTGGATAAGATAAATTCTTTAACTGCTATAGTACCATAATGTGTTTGTCATTCAGGCAATGGTGTAATTGCTGGGCAGTTTCTAGTAATACATTAAAGATCTGGAAACCATCTTAGGGGAGCGTAGGTTGCACCAACCCATTGCTTTATGTGCTTTAAAGAATTCTGGAGTAAAAAAAAAAAATTTTTTTCATGCCATCTGCATTGAAGGATCTCATTTAATAAAGACTATCAGTTATAGTACACGAGATTCTGATATGGCTGCTGAGCTTTAACACCAGATGCTTTTGGACTGACTTTTAGAGATGCTTAAAGTATGAGGCCAGAAAGGACCACCAAATTATCTAGACTGACTTCCTGCAAATCACAGGCCACCAACACCACCCAGCAACCACATACTAAACCTAACCACTGAAATTAGACCAAAATATTATAGGCCTCAGGATGCTAAATTATTGTGTGCCATAGACAGAGAACAGGAGGGACTCAGGTGTGACATTGCCTGAGGACCCTTCAGTGACAGGGAATTAAGTGAGCTATTCCCAGGTGACCCTGTCAAGAGATCTACACCCCACCCTGCAGAGGAAGGCAAAAAACCCCAAGGTCACTGCCAGTCTCACCAGTTAGAGCCTGAGTGTGTGAGCAAGAGCTAGCCAACCAAGCACTGAAGAGAAAATCCTCAGTACCACCTCAGAGTACTGGCTTATTCTGTCCAGGATTCCATCGACAACTGTGGCCATCTCTAATGCTACAGAGACAAACAAACAAACAAACCACACCTACAGTGGGAGTTGAGGGGTAATCAATCCCTTTCTGACAGGTGACCAGCTGAAGCCCTGAAGCATGAGATTTTTAGGAACATCAGATGCTCAGGAAACAGGAAGTTAAATATGAATAATAAAGTGGACCTGACACAAAAGTGGGAGAGAGAATTCCCCAGAGTGCAAGATGGGTCTGAGGCATGCTAATCCCTGGTGATAGGATGGTTATGTTGCTATGTCCAAAGAAGCAGTTCCTAGGTTGTAACCAGATCACAACACTGTGAGCCCTAAATTGCTAAAATGCCATCATGTGGTAGTAACAAACCCAGCACTTCTGGTCCATTTTAAACCTTGATTAAATTATCCTACACTTGGCCAACACAAGCCTTGATTCATTGATGGTACTTGACATTCTTTTTGCCTGTCTAGAACAAAGAAAATGCGATCTGTGGCTTATAGTTAGAATTAGTGTTGCGGGGGTCTTGCTACTGAAAATAATACATCTGGAAAAGCCTGCAGGTAAATAGACATGTACATATAATGAAAATTAATGTGTGTTAATATTAACTATGTGAACACATATATTTAATATTGTTATGAGCTGGGTGAAACCTTGTTATGGGTTGTTAATACCTCTTTGAGATTGAATGTGAATGCATCCTTCAATTAACATAACTGAGAGACTGAGTTAATCAGAAATCCACCAGGTAAAACAAAAGGGGGTTGTGAACCCACCCAGAAGCTTTGGACTGAGTGGACAGAGGGGTTTTGCTCAGGGGTGTGTGAGCGAAGGCAAAAGACACAGATCAGAGAGTGGGCCTGGTGGACAGAGGTTTAAAAACAAGAAAGCCAACCAGCAGCCTATAAGCATAGTGTGACCTGGAAAAAGCTAGAGATAGCTTTTGGGTCAGGTGATGAGGCTGTACGCTAAGAAACTGCTCCATTCGTTCTTGGTTCCTTCTGATTTCAGACACACGACTTTGTACATTCCTTGGAAATAAATAGGATTGCATCGAAGAAAATAGCAGATTCCATCATTTTCTACTTCCAACTTCACTTTATATTCTTGTTGAAATGAGACTGAACAGAAGTGGTTGGATTTCTATAACTATGAGAGAGAGAGAATGACTCTGTAGCCCAATGGTTAGGGCACCCACCTGGGAGGTGAGAGACCTGACATCCAGTCCCCCTGCTCCAGTTATTCTTTCATTATTTATCCACAGTGGAACAGTTTCAACAGGGGAGACTGAGTGCCTCCACATCAGAATATTCTATAGCCCGTGGTTAAAGCATCTTAAGAGATGTGAGACCCCTATTCAAATCCTTTCTCTCCATCTGGCAGAGCGGGGGAAATTGAATCTGGGTCTCTTGCATCCCAAGTGAATGCTCTAACCACTGGGCTAAACGTTATAGGGTGGGCACGACCTCTTCTTCCTCCAGCTGTGTTGTGTGGAACGAGGCAGCTGCCTAACTAATTCACTGGTTCAGGAAATGTGTTAGGTATCTAAGTCACCGAGTCGATGCAGCGGGTTCCCATTCGTGGATGATTAGGAGAGGCAGGTATCTCCTTGCAGCCTAGCACATACCCCTGTTGTCAGCATTGCTCTTCAGCTAGCTTCGGTGGCTCCCTGCCTAGCATGCTGGCTTTTGTGGATTGCATTCATAGGCACCTCTCTCTTCCCTTTTATTGTATAGGGAGCCTAGGTATTTAAATTGGCCTTGTGGATCACAGTGTTGGTCTTTTGATTTTCCAGGTGTTTGAAAGTTAGGTACTGTAATGCTCAGCATTGCAATGCCTACGTCCCTTCATGGATTCCATCCTGGATCTTAACCTATTTAATGTTCTTTGTAAACTGCCAAGTACGTTGATGGTTTGATATATAAAGATATACATACATACAATGTTTGTTCTAAAAGATTTCAGCCAATCTAGATGCTCAACTTTCAATTAGTTCAATTAGTTTTTCTAAACAGGTGGCATTAACATAAAGTAAAGTTAATAATCAAGACATTTATGTAGGCTTACTACACCATGATGTAATCAAAAAGATAGGCTGCTGCCTACATCAGAACATTATTTCTGGAGTATTTGACAATATTTGACCATAGTCAAATAACAGGTGGTCAACTGACTGGTCAGTTGATGTTATTCAACTGGTCAATTAACCAGTTGGCCAAACCTCATCTCTCTGGAAGTGTTTAGTCTTTTCCATTTTAAACCAGCATTGCAGTTCCCATGTCGTTTTAAAATGTACCTAGTTACACTAAACAGCACGCTTTATAATGCCATTTTGCCTTGTCTCTTGCTCTTGTTGCCCTCTACCCTATCAAGAATTAGAAAGAAGGCCCTGGAGAGGCGAGAAGAAACCATAATTGTAGATCGCACTTGCAGACAAGAAAGATTTACTTATGAGATGGTAAGATTTCCCCCTCTTCTCCTCCCAGACTCTTAAGACAGTTGAATCCTGTCAAGAAAACAGCTCTCAAGGACTTACTTTGCTTTGTGTTTTTGATTTGCTGGTGAAGCCAACTATATCATTCACACTGTTGTACTATGAGTTTGCAAACAATGACTAAGATGACATATGCTCCTATAAGTGGGTAGCTCACACTGCAACACTTTTGGGGCAGGGACAGTCTCTCACTGTGTTTGTAGAGTCCCTAACACAATGGGATTCTAATCTTGGCTGAGGCTTCTAAGCATTATCAGAATATTACTGATGATGATAATAACATGGTTTCTGTTTTATATGGGAGCCCCAATGTGCTGGGTGCTGTACAGACATATAATACGATTAAGGCATAGGCCCTATAGCAGGGGTTCTCAAACTGGGGGTCAGCACCCCTCAGGGGGTCGCGAGGTTATTACATGGGGGGTCGCGAGCTGTCAGCCTCCACCCCCAAACCCCGCTTTGCCTCCATCCAGCATTTATAATGGTGTTAAATATATAAAAAGTGTGTTTAATTTATAAGGGGGGGGGGTTGCATTCAGAAGCTTGCTATGTGAAAGGGGTCACCAGTACAAAAGTTTGAGAACCCCTGCACTATAGGCAATGCCTAGAGCTCAGGAGTCATGGGATGGTGTCACGACCTCCTCTTTAATTTAAAACAAAAATATCCACAACCATAATGAACAGAGACTTTTTTTTTTTTTTTTTTTTTAAATTTTGAAAGGTGAAATTTTCCTAAATTTCCAGCTCCTGGAATCAACTGATTATACAAGAAAAACGCCAAACATTATGAGAGTTAGGAATTGCCCTGTGTGACCCTCCTGCACTTACATGCGCTTAACACTGCTGCCTCCTCTTACCTTGTCCTGTGTGTGTGTGTGTGAACATTGTGTAGTATACATAAGAAACAAATCAAAAACAAATTGCGGGTAATGAGTTGGCACAGATATTTTCTAGAAAACAGTAGGAGCTACTCAGCAGTCTTGCGAGCCACGCTCTTTAAAAAGAAGGCACGTGTACGGCAATTGATGCTCTAATACGGCAATGTCAGTAGTTCCAATGGAATTTATTATTGAAAGTAAAACATACTAGACAGTCTGAGTTTTGTTTACATTAGCAAAAGAGACTCCAGTGATAGAGTCCGATTAGCTTGTACTTCAAGGACTAGTAGTTATCTCTGCACAGGGCTACAGCAGCAGAAAGCATCTCTGCTATTAAAGCTAAAGAGCACTTTGTGATGGCCGGATTGCAGTGAAATCCTTTTTCAGCCAGAAGTTTGTTTTCATTTGGGGTAACGCTCCCCAACTGTTTGGGGAGACTGGTTGTTAGAGAAGGGAGAAATTACCTTCCTTATTCTGTTTGACAGCTGGGGTTTCAGCTTAAGGAAAGAGCATAACAAAAATGCTTTCAGCTCATATCCAGAACATGCTAGTTTGTACTATTAGGATGTAGTGCCTGAGGATAAGAGGCATGGTGGGGCTGGATTCTTGGTTTGGATTTGCTTGACATTTGGATTGAGTAAAGAGGCCTCAAATCATGTACATCATTAGCAAGAGTCTCTTGTTTTCGCACACTTTGCCCATGTTTAGTTTCTGGACCATTGTACAATTTGCAGTAGAATGCACTCGGACATATGTATTAACATTTTATCTTCCTAGGAGTCTCATGCAATTGGAAAGAAGCCAAAAGATCCAGCAAATCTAATTGAGGAAGGAGAACTTTTCCTAACTCTGAACATCTTTTATCCTGTCATATTTCAGAAGGTTGGTATTAAAAATTCTCTGGGTCAGAGTCTGATACATTTTCCCACCTTGAATAGTGTCTCACTCCACAAGTAGTCTCACTGAAATCAGTGGGATCATACAAGGAGCAAGATGCTACACAAGACTGAGCGTTCTTATTTATCAGTTAGCCTGTAGGTGCTATTACAATTTATCCAAATTGGAGGTCCTAGACCCGGTATAAGCATACCATAAATCACACTCAAAAGCTGCCGGAGACTGGCTTTCTGTGATTCGAGGTGGTAGTTGTAAAAGTTGCAGTCTTTTCTTAATGGTTCAGTAGTAACTTCATAGTTTTTACTGCAGATCAGAATGTGTAGCATTTAGAACTAACGTACTTTCTATGGGTCTGGCCAACAGTTGTACTCAGATTACTTGTAGGGTTGCCAACTTTGGCTGGATGAATTCCTGGAGATTTCATCACATGGCATAATCTTTAATTAAAGATTAATCTTTAATTTCTGGAGACTCCAGGACAATCCTGGAGGGTTGGCAGCCCTAGTTACTTGCAGCCATGAAAAGCTTAGAGTCTGTGCTTCAAATTAGTTCCTTTGTTGTACAAACTTGCGGCAGCTTTACAGGGGCTGTGGAAAGCTGATGTCAGCCTTTTATGGGGAGGAGTTAGGCCTTGTGGTGCTAATGACCCCAGTTAGGCATTCTGTAGCAGTGCTGGTGGTAAAGACATTCTGGCCCTGTTGTTAACTGAAGGCTGCTCACTGTTTCTTTTGTAGCATAAAGATCACAAACCTTATCAGACAGTGCTTGTGTTGGGCAGTCAAAAACTCACTGAGCTCAGAGACTCCATTTCCTGTGTCAGCGACCTTCAGATGGGTGGTGAGTTCAGCAGCCACCCTGACCAAGCACCAGAGCATATTAGCAAGGTACAATCATCTGATGTAAAGGGGATGAGGGTGTATGTGTTTGTGCTTGGTTGTTTTTTCCCCCACCAAGAGTAAAATGCAATGGTGCAGTTGGATTACATAATTCTGTGAGTATCCAGATATCATGGTGGGAGGCCAAATTTAATACCAGGCTACATCTGTAATCTGAGAGAGATTTACTGACCTTTGGGGAATGCTTTTTGAGATGCATGGCTAGAAGATGCACTAGTATAAATTTCAGAATGCTTTGAAGATAAAAAATGAGTATTTAACTATTACTAGGGTCTATGAAATGCCTCACATGTTTCTGAGCACTAGAACATAACCATTACAGCTAAAGTTATTTGCCAGAAGTCACCAGATGCCTGTCAGAGTGAGACATCAGCTCTTCTGTTTTACTTGGCAATTAAAATATGGAAAAACCACACACTTTGCACTTATTGTGACTTCTTAAAATTACAGTTAACACATGCATATACACACAAAGTATACATACATTATTGTATATTATATCTATGCACAATTGCATGTAAAACATTCCTAAACCACAACAAAATTATTTGAAGAGCTACATTCTTAAAATACATTTCCATATAGAGTCCAGCTAACATCCCAAAGCAGCCTTCTGCTTTCTTTAATTTTACCTTTGTAAATTAAAAAGGTATTAATCTGAGAATGAATAGATCAGTGCTTAAAGTTTCGAATGTGGATAAAAGACTACCTTTCTCTGTCCCCATTTAAATGATTATTTAAAAAATAACCCCAGCTTCTCCAAAAAGTAATCTATAATTTACTGTGGGATGCTCCTAAGGGGAAATTGGCATCTGCCTTACTTATGCAGTGGTTCCCGCTGTTCCTTAATAATACACCTCTACCCCGATACGATGCAGTCCTCGGGAGACAAAAAATCTCACCGCGTTACAGGAGAGACTGCGTTATATTGAACTTGCTTTGGCCCTCCCTGTTCCTTGTTCCCTGACCACCCCCTCCAGAGACCCCCATCCCTAATCACCCCCAGGACCCCACCCCTACCCAACCCCCCTGTCCCCTGACTGCTCCGACCTCTATCCACATACCCCGCCCCCTGACAGGCACTCACCGGCAGCGGCGGGAAGCGGAGCAGCCTAGCCCCAGCCCGCTCCACTCCACCACCTCCCAGCTGCAGCGCTTAGTTTCCCGCTATCGGTGAGTGCAGGGAGGTTGGAGAAGGGACGCGCCCCCTGCCCCCCCCCCCCACCTGCGGCGGGAAGCGGAGTGACGCGGCCCCAGCCCACTCCGCTTTCCTTGCTCTGGCCCCAGCCGTCTCGCTGGGGGGTGGGGCTGGGGAAAGGTCCTGCACTCACCTGCGGCAGGAAGTGGAGCGCAGTGGCTGGGAGCTGGCGAGTGGAGCTGGCTGGGGCTGGGCTGCTCCACTTCCTGCTGCTGGTGAGTACAGGGAGGTTGGGGAAAGGACACCTCCCGCACTCACCAGCGGTGGGAAGCGGAGCGATGCGGCTGGGAGCTGGCGGAGTGGAGCGGGCTGGGGCCGGGCTGCTCCGCTTCCGCCGCTGCCGGTGAGTACGAGGGGGATCCCTTCCCCTAAGCCCCCTCCCAAGAGCGACACGGCTGGGGCCGGGGCGAGGGAAGCAGAGTGGGCTGCTCCCGGCCCCCAGCTAATCCCCAGGGCCACTCTGGGACTGCAGGGCCCCCCAAAGTGCCCCCCCACAGCTCCTGTCTCCCATACCCTGGCGGGGGGTGGGGGCGGGAAAGCCCCTGACCGCCCCCAAGACCCTCTGCCCCTTATCCAACCCCTCGGCCATGGCCTGGCCCGGCACCCTTAACACGCTGCTTTAACGTGTTGTATGCGAACCCACATTATATAGGGTCGCATTGTATCAGGGTAGAGGTGTGTGTATATATATAAACATCTCTCTATAGAGAGAGAGCCCTTGTGCAGGCTCTTCATTGACTTTAAGCTATATATTTGTGAGGTTAATCTATTTCCTTTTGTCTACTTTCTATTGTTTTAAGTTCCCAAACCCATAATAAAAAAAAACTTTGATATGACTGTATTTTCTATTCATATAAATACTACTTGCTGCTAATTTTAGCCTGTCCACGTGTACAGCTCTCAATGTATTGTAGAGCGCAGCTGATTAACAGAATAACACGTGGTTATTTTGCCAAATCGTTTTTCTTTTTTAATTTTTCTTCCTAGTTGATATGAAAGAGTTTAGCAAAGGAGCTCACTCTTCTATATAAGAGTTAATCTACACCTCCTTGTCACAGAACTTGTTGCATAAATAGTGGATACTCATTGGCTAGCTTCAGTAATTTCTGGTGATGCGGAATTCTGTGAGCCCCGTTAATGCTGATATGAATGGCATAAAACATTAATTAACCTCTGTGAGAAAATGTGGGTACAAATGGCCTGTCTCTGTGTGACAAATTGTGTAATGAAGAGAGCATTTTGTGGGATGCTGGATCTCTTCAGAGCACTAAAAAGGGAGATGATTTGACCTTCCAGAACAGCACGTCTGTCTTGTTTATGGAGGTGTGCGTAGTCACTATTGCCACATGGCCACCTTTAATTTATGTTTTGGTGCAGGATTGCAATAGAGTTGATGACTTGTCATCCTGGGGAACAGTGGGTCTTGTGGCATGGCCTGCTCTGACCTTGCTAGTTTTTAGCAATTGGAAAGTTGTGCCTAAATTCTGTAAAAGATGCTCATGAGTTTTTAGACATCTGTGAATAACAGAATGGGGAAATAATAAGAAAAGAAAGATCATACAGTAGATAACATATCAGCATGATCAGTTTGCCGTCAACAGGGCCGGCTCCAGGGTTTTGGCCACCCCAAGCAGCCAAAACAAAACAAAACAAAAAGCCGCGATCGCGATCTGCGGCGGCGATTCGGCGGGAAGTCCTTCGCTCCCAGGAGGAGTGAGGGACCGTCCGCCGAATTGCTGCCTAATACCTGGACGTGCCGCCCCTCTCCGGAGCGGCCGCCCCAAGCACCTGCTTGAGAAGCTGGTGCCTGGAGCCGGCCCTGGCCGTCAACAGAGTAGCTCTGCCCTAATTTTTAGTTCTGTATTGTTTTCAGAAATCACACACTGTAGCCAGTGACTCTGCAACAAGCCATACTGTGACATCAATATTTAAGCCGAACTCCCCAATGGGAAGCTCTGCTTAAAAACTGACAGAATGATACAGCCAAATATAATATACGTACATAAAGTGCACCACAAATAAGTTTCATTTTGCAAGGTTTCTGTTGTTTAATCTATTTTTGTTTGTAGTACTAACGTTGTCTCTCTCTCTCTCTCTCTCTCTCTGTCTGTCCAAGGATCTCTACAAATCTGCTTTCTTTTATTTTGAAGGCGTTTTTTACAATGATAAAAGGCACTCAGAGTGCAGAGATCTGAGCAGGTACAGTATAAACAGTCCCTCAGTGGGAGGAGATCCTTAGGGAAGAGAAGAGAAACTTGACTGATTCTGCTGCTGATGTGTGATGTTTCGAGAAACCCCCCTAATTTCCCTCCCCTTCCATAACCATCCCCAGCATTGAACTGATCTTCCTGAAGATCTAAAACTGCTTCCTCTGTATGAGCTGGGTCCATTTATTGCTTGGGAATGGGTTCTATGACAGGAAAAAGATTGGCAGCTGCAGTTTTGCTTGGACTAGACTTTAAAATGCCCTATTTACAAAGGGCTTGTCTACACAGGGTGTGAATTGTAGAGCGCTCTACCTGCCCCACGTAGACCCTGCCAGTGAAAACTCAAAGGTGTGCATTGATGTAATCCCATTTCAAACAGGACTACGTCAGTGTGCACTAGGTAACTTTTAGTTTATGCCAACACTGTCTATGTGGGGCAATTAGAGTGCTCTATATTTCATGCCCGTGTAGAGCCTACTAAGGTGCCATGTAGACAAGCCCAAAGACTTTTAAAGGGTGTCTCAAAAAAAAAAAAAGGGGGGGGGGCAATTGTCAGCTAGACTACAAATTAAAAATGTGCTATTTTTGTGAAGCCAGCAACCCCTCGTCTCTTCCTCCCATTACTGAGCATACATTGAATACTTTCTACACAGTACTTCCCAGAGTTGGCGGAGAGAAGTTATGTGATCATCCCTGAGACAGGAGATGGGCCGAGCTGTGGTGGCTGGGATGGGAGGTGTCTTTGAGACCATTTCAAACTGTGGTTCAATTTTGAAAACTTACTGAATTAAACCATCAATACATATTTATATGAAGGGCCTTTGTAGGGAGCTGAGCTATTATGGTGGGCAGTGTAGAAATCATCAGGGCTGGATTTGGTTCCTCACTGTGCCACAGACTTACTGTGCAGTGTTGGGCAAGATGCATAATCTCTGTGCCTCACTCTTTGCTCACAAAATGAGGATGCTCATACTTTCCTAGCTCAGAGAAGTGTGAGTAAATGCTACGTGTGGTAGTGGAACACCTCATAGCGATGAACATGTTCTAAAAAATCCAATAAATAAATACATGTGAGCTGAGGTCAGAAATAAGTGCAAAAGGTGATTGAGGCTTGGTGTGCCACAAAACACACGACTTCCATGCATGTCCAGGAAAGTCCTCAACTTTACTTGGATTTCTTTAGAAAAATGATTGGCATTGGATTCCGGGCAGCCTCAAGGCACAGTGTATAACTCTCTGAAAATGTGTTAGTCAACAAATCCCTACACACTAATGTAAGAAATGTTGGTAACTTTTTTTGTAATCAGTGCCCTGAATGAAGCGTTTCAGACGCACCTAAAATACAAGGTGCACATATAACTTTCATACATTTTCAGCTTCTAACATAGCAATCCTAATTATCGTCTGTCCATGAAATTTCAGAACAATTATTGAGTGGTCAGAATCTCATGATCGAGGCTATGGGAACCTTCAGACTGCTAAAATGGAGGACTACACGTTTAATGACTTGTCCATCAAAATTGGTTTTCCATACCTCTTCTGTCACCAAGGAGATTGTGAGCATATCATTCTCATCACAGACATAAGGTAAATTATTACTATTTGGGAGTGCTCATGCAGTTACTATAAGTGCTTTGCTTTCGCTCTTACAAAGCCTGATCTCAGAGAGTGCTTGATAAACACCAGTATCAACACTATTTCAGAAAGCTGAAGTAGAATAATTTCTAGAGTATAATAGTGTAATTTTTATGCAGAATTGGCTTAGTAAAAAGATTTTATTCTGTATGCACCTAATCCTCTGCAGCAAGCAAGGAGATAGACAGAAGGGAAACGAGAGACCATCGTGTAATAAAACAGCCATAAAACTAGTATTGGATTGGCCCATGTCCTGCACTCCTTTGCCTTTTGTTAACAGTCTGCTCCTGCAAGATGCTCAGTGTCTCCCATGAGTTGGTGAGCATTCCTGTTGTCTTCATTAGGAACGCTCAATGTATGGCAGCTAGGAATACTCCTTCAGCTCTCCCACTTAGAGAGGAAGCCAAAAAGCTTTTGTTCCCATAAGCCTGCTATACCTAGGGTTTGCACTGAGCGTCTCTTAGGTGGCGCTTGACATCTCCCAGGATAGGGCATTACATGTCTAATGGAGATCAGCTTTACCACTGACCATACTAGTGAGTCTGCAATATGATGCGACTAGTATTCATGTCTTAAGATTTGTGTCAGTGTTCCACAATTCTGAATGTGACTTTTCCTGGTCAGCATTGTCCTCTAACCTGACTGTCCGTGATGGTGTTCAGACACAATAAAATGATGCAATGTAGCCAAGCCCTTATTCTGTTCCTCTCTGTGCCAGGCTTGTTCATCAGGATGACTGCCTGGACAGGACCCTGTATCCCTTGCTAATCAAGAAGCATTGGTTATGGACTAGAAAATGCTTTGTGTGCAAAATGTATACAGCCAGGTAAGTGACCAGTGCTATTTGGTTAGCTTGGTTTCTTCATCCATCTAAGACTTCTGTTAACAGAAATCTTTCTAGGTGTCTTTTTTTAATATAGTATATTTTTTTTTAATCAACATCCTCTGTCCTTGTACTCCAGGTGTTTGTGTCCATATAGAACTAATTCAAATTATTAGCCAGGCACAACCCACTTTTTTGTTATACACAAATCCTCAATTATTAAGTATCATTTTCTGAAGAATGTCACTGTCGTGCCCATCCTACAGACTATTGAACGATAGGGGAATCTCTTGTAGGACAACCAGAACAGAGTGGAAATCTTGAGGGTGGCAAACCTCTGGATAGCTCTCTTATGTTTGATACTTAGCATATGAGCACAGAACCCAGATCTATTTATTTTAGGGTTTTTATAGCATTTATTTTCTCAGTAAATTTTACTGATAGAGCAAAATGCTAGATTGAAACAATGATTATAACAGGACAAAATCTGAGTCTTTTTCAGGAGTCCATGTGTTATCTGTTAAAAAACGGTGTCTTCATTAAAGTATAGATAGTAGAGGAAGAGGAGTAAAGCTAACACCCTGATTTTACTATGCTGCTTTAAGTATCTCAATGCAATCATTTTAAAGGTTAAAAAGACAAAAAATATAGCTTCTCTTCCTCAACAGTTTAATGGGTTGTCTCTCTCTCCCCCTCCCCCCATTGTCTCTTTAGGCTCTGTAAGCAGAAAAATACATCTGTGGCCATTTGTGCTAATCCAAACCCAGGCTTTGCTAGCTGTTTGTTCTAGTAAGAGAGAACTGTGAGAGAACCCTCTGTCCCCTGCAATATTTTATATCCTATTCATCTGGTCTTAGGAAAAGCCTGTCTGCAGACACGATAGAAATCTCTGTATCAGGAAAGTAAACCAATCCCACAGGCTAGATATGACACCTCAGTGTTTTGGCTAGGTCACTTCAAAACCAAGTTTTGGCCGCTTGCTCTAAGTGGTAATTCATGCCCCTTATCCCATTCTGATACATGGACTGTGCTCCTTTATCTTCAGTATATTGTGATAGGATCACTCAAGATAATCGGGCAGAATGCTGTTGGGACAGCCCATCTTCACGTTCTTAGCAAGTCCCCTGGATGCCATCAGAAGTGGCCATAATCCATCTGAGGAGTCTGACCATAAGGGGAGGTGGAGCCAAAGGATCAATGTCAGGGAAAGACAGGGTGGGGAATGCATTACCAGAGGTGATGGTCTCTAACTGCATTAAATTAAAACCAGGATTAAGCACTAAGATTAAATGGGGAGATGCTGAGCCATTGCTGACCAGAGCAACTTTGGCTGGACGTCTCTGCACATTCTAATCTGTGTTGGATAGCATCTTCAGTCACTGTTTTTTTTTGAGTAGCAAAGGCCTTGTCTACAATGCAAATATTTGCACCAGTGTAGCTATGCAGTTATAGTTCACTAGTGCAACCCCCCCCCCCCCCCACGTGTAGACGTGCTGCACTGGAGCAAATAGTGACTGGTAACAGTACAGCTTTCCTTTCTCTTTTGCAAGTCATTTCTCGCATTAGTGCAGTCCATCTACACTCTGGGTTTGTACTATGTTTATATAATACCTCAGGGCACTGGGTGTGGGTGTCTTGATCTTTGTTAAGTTCTCCCATATAATTATTTCGCTGCACATCTACCATTCCTCATCTTGACAGCTGTATTGATGCTCTACACTTCTCAATAGAAGTGAAGTTATCAGCACCCTCCCTATTTAACCCAGTCTCCCCTGCCTCATTCAAGCCTATGATTTGAAAGGAAAATATTGTATGTGTAGATGCACATGTGTAAACAAAATATCATAAGTGACCAAACTGCATCAAAAACAATGCAAGCTCTTAAATTAAGATATAATTAAAACTGCCACTTGTCTGCTAATAGACAACAGTAAGTAAGAGAACTTAGAACAGATTAAAAATTCAATTCTAATGACCGAGAGGAAAAGCACTAGACTTTGGATGGCAGTGTTCAGTGTCAATCCCAATGATCTCAACCTGTTTCTAACAACGTGTCTCTCTCCATTCAGTTGATTCCCAATTCTCTGAACAGATCTGGTTGCTCAAGCAGTTTGCATAATTGGGCAAGCTGTTATATATCTAAATTCCTCACCCTCCCCAGGCAAAATACAGTTTTGATTTGTTACTTAAGTTGCCAGGCAATGAACAGGAGCTTCATATTATAATTTGAGTACCTAAAAGTTTGCTAAGCACTTCACAGAACAAGTAAGGACACAGCCCCTGCTAGATGCTGCTGCAGCAGCAAGTTTGTGGATGTGATTAAGGGAATGAGGTTCTTGGCAAACAGGTTTGGGAAAGAGCTGCCTCTGTAGGGAAATGGAGTAGGATGGCAAGGATAAGACTCATCCCACTGGGTTATTGTATCTTACATTCAACACCTGTACATGCAGTGAAATATGAAATGACTCTAAGAATAAGATTTTGATGGGGGTGTATCCTATACACATCAAATGTGTCAGTCTAAAGTGAAACACCTGTGTTTTAAAACCTGCAGGTGGGTGACTAACGAGGACAGTCTCGCTCCAGAGGACCCCTGTTTCTTCTGTGATGTTTGTTTTCGAATGCTCCATTATGATGCAGAAGGCAATAAACTGGGAGAGTTCCTTGCTTACCCTTACGTTGACCCAGGGACTTTCAACTAAGGCTTCAACGAGAATGAATTCAGTGAACTGGAACCATGAATCTGCTGCAGTGGCGGTTGGGTGGTTCTGAACAGATGTAGTCTGAAATACTGCTGGGGTTTGGGATAGGCCATCGTTCCTTTGTTCAGTAGTGGGGATTCCTGCGCACATCAAGTTTTTGAATCTTGTTGGTAATCCAGAAAGGGAGCATTTACTTTTACACAATGGATTAGTGTGGAGGAAACCGCCTCAGCCATGCTTCGTTTTAACTATAAAAATGCAAAAGAGTACTGTTTACTTTTTTTAAAGTGCCTACAGTACATTAAATGTGGAACGACAGACTTCTAGGCAGAGAGACTAACACTTACAAATCCGGGTGTCCAAAGCTAGGGTCCTGAATAAAAGAAATCTGATCGTTAAAAGCTGTGCTCCTTTGGCTTCCATTAACTTCCAAGGATACTCCATTTGACTTGTAAGCACCCGGGTTTGAAAATTCTGGCCATAGTCGCCTCTGAACAAGGGCAGATGACTTTCATTAACTCTGATGGCAGTAATCCAAACCAATCACGAGGAGAGAATACATCCTAAGAAACCAGTCACAGCATGCTAGTTTATTTCCAGGTCTTTTGCTTCAAGCAATGGCTGCTTGTTGTTACTCAACACATTTTCCTTTCTTCTTCTTCTTCTTCTTCTTCTCTCTCTCTCTCTCTCTCTCTCTCTCTCTCTCTGAAGGAAGAGGCATTTGTGAAGAGTAAAATATGTTGATTTACCAATGCACTGTGCCCTACATTTCAAATTAATTTCATGTTTCTTTCAATTCCTATGCTCCTGAGTTTATCATTTAAAGTTCATAATGGGCATTATTGCAAGAGCATCTTTGCTATTTTAATATTACTTGACTTCTCTTTACTGAAACTTAATAAAGTCCTATAGTCATTAAAATGTGACCTGTCAGCCAAGTTTATTCTGCTCATGCAGTATTACATAAGTAAGAGTCCTCTGCTTGCCGAGATATATTTCAATCTTCCAGGGAGCCTAGAGGTAAAGTTTTTTGTTTTTTAGTAGTCTGAAATTCTGGGAAGTTGAACAGAACAGACCTCTGCTGTTTAGTAAGAGTAATAGCATGAATTGCTCTTCTCTCATACATTTCAAAAAGTCCATCAGTTCCCCCCCCGCAAAAAAAATCAGCTTTGCTGGGCATGGAAGTGCCTTCACTCTGTGTATATATGAAAAGGGTTTGTCAGAACTGATTCTATATGATTCAGGTTTTTATATACCTCCATCCTGCCAACACTTACTCACAATAGTGAGGTTAAGCATATGTGTAATCCCACTGACTTAAAAAATTAAGTATCAGTGTAAATGTTGGCAGGGGATCGGGGTCACACTGTGCCTATCACTGTTGTATCTGAATGCCTTCCCATGGCACATTAAGCATTGTGACTAGTATCAGTCAATGGTCCTTTCTCCTTTCCTCTACTGTGAGAAGAATTATGTGAAGTTTTTTATTTTACTCCTCTATTTGCTGTGCTATATGTCCTTTGAAAATACGGTCAAAGAAGTGCATCTTCCATTTGGGATGGAAGGTGAGGAGATTTGTGGTAGTTTTTAGTGTCTGCTAAGTGCGAGTGTGTGGTACATTTAGTGATGATTGATCCACCACACTCAAACAGTCACTATCTTAGACGGGGTAGTAGTGGGGGAGAAGCCAGTCAGGTGAAAGCAAGACTATAGGAAACATTTCACCACTATTCCAGCTTTGCAATTCATCCATTTTTTTTCTTCTTAAAAGGTCTTAATAAAGGCAGAGATATGTCATGGCTGGTATCTAGAATGTGGATGGATGTGAGTAGAAAACACATTTGAAATATGCATGCTCTTGAGCCCTATCTTGGTGTTCTGTCTCTCTTTTCACAGTAGGCTGGTTTGTGCTGCTATAAAGGCTTTTAAAACAATTCCCTTTAGAATGCAACTTTCATGTTTCCTTCGAAGAGTAGCATTCCAGTGATGCTTACCTTCCCCAAGCCCCTCTTCTTTGGCTGCCTTCTATTAACATATGGGCTTTCCAATCCTCTTTAGCACTGCAACTGTGATTAGATAAAACAGTAGCTTTAGAAATTACACCAGCTGTCTGAATTCTAAGAGGCCAATCATTACAGGTTTTCTTACTAGAAAGGATAGAAGAGAAATTCTGAGATGAGGAAACCCAAAATTTGTTTGGTCTATAGTTTTAATAATAAAACTCTTTTCTATCCTGTTTGCTCTAACTAACCTGACTAATTAACCACTTCACCTTCTCACCTCTGCAAGGCAAAGTCTCAGACAAACTTACCTTAAAATGACTGGTTTATATAGCTTAAAAAAAAATAAAAAAAACTTAGCTAGAGCCAGTCCTCCATTTATCTGATAATGTGCAGAGACACAAGTTACAGCTCTGGTTGTGAGAATTCGCTATATTTATGTATTTCGCAGGGGGGATGGAGTGCTACGTTTCTTGTATGTGTTGTGTTCTGGCCCTATCACATGTCAAATGAAGTGACTTGAATGCTACATTGAGTAAAAAGGTCACAAATTATATTTTGAAAAATCCTTTAATTCCTTGAGTCCCAGGAGCAGTCACAGGACAGCTGGGTCTGGTTTTGGTTTAGTGTTTTCTTCTGAATGAGCCCTCTGAGTCAAACCTAGTAACGGCCCCAGCTGTCCATTTATAATTAAATTTCTAAGATACCAGCTGGGTATTTGTGTTTTGGCTACTTGTTTAACAATGTTAGCATTTAAATGATCACAACTTCAACGTTTATTTAACACCCCGTGAAGATAAATGAGCAAAGATCATATCTATTTATATTCTCTGGCTTAGTCACTCATCAAGAAGAGCAGAGTAACATTCTGAGATGGAATGAAGCTGACTTGTGGCTGTAGGTAGACATAGCCTTACAGCAGCAGAGCTGTAGCTCGGTAGTGTAGACACTTGCTATAGTGATGGAAGGGGTTTTTCCATCACTGTGGTAAATCCGCCCCCTCAAGAGGCCATAGCTAGGTTGACAGAAGAATTCTTTCATCAACATAGCTGCATCTGCAGTGTGGGTTACTGTAGATGTACGAGTTGTGAAATTTTCATAGCCTTGAGTGAAGTAGCTAGGTCAACCTAAGTTTTACATGTAGACCAGGCCTTAGTACCTAGTTTACGTACCTAGTGTTTTTAACTGGTAATAGGTATTCCTAAGAAACAAAAGTATTATATGAAAAAATGTTACACAGTTGGCACTAATTGCACTAGGGACAGGAAATGCAGAATTAACCTTAATTGTGTTGTCTTGGCACCTAAACATTACAATAGGGCTTTTATTACTTGATCACACAACATACAGCCAATGATGCATATGAGCTTCCCATCAAACTACTGACAAGTTCTTAAGCACCTACATTGTTATAGGTGCAGGCTTGTGACTTTTTTGGCTGGTTGTATTAACTGAAGCGCTCAGAAAAACAGAAGCAAGAATTGAAAGCAGGGCTCTTGCACAGCACTGAAAAGCACTAGCACCATGTGTGCATGCAAGAAATGCACGGGTCTCTCATCCAAAAAGCTTACAGACTAAATAGAGTAGGTGAGCAAAGCCTGGAACTGGAAAAGGAGGCAGAGACTTGCTCAAGGTCACACAGCAAGTCAGCTAAATAGCTGTGTAGAGAATTCAGCTCTCAAGTCCCACTTCAATGCCCAATCCACTGGACTGCAGTGCTAATTTTTATTATTTATATATAAAAAAAAATCTCCACCTGATACCAGTAGCTGTTGCCATGACAGAGATGTAAAAACTAGGCATTGTAAGGGTGGCATGCATCCAGACACACAGCCTCACTCCTACTCAATGTCTAAAATTAGACCAGATTGGGCCTCTTCAAAACAGTCATCTGCTTTCAAGCATCAGTCACTGCCCCTGATATGACATGTGGCTGTGCCTCCTGCACCTGGTGCATCTTAAACCACCTTCCACAGATTTGTGCCTTGGTTTAGGTTTGTTAGAGTTTTAGAACATAAGCTACGAACAGATATGAGCTCTGAGGTGACAAAGGGCAACATTAGGGCTTGTGGCTGAGCAATGGCATCCTGCCTAAAGCATTCAGAGTCTGGAGAGCCCACTTACTCTAGGAGATCTCCTTGCCTCCTCTCAGGAATAGAGAGAGTACATGCACAAGAGAGCTCTTGCAACTAGTTCTGCCTGGGATCAACCTTTCCAGACTACTGTAGCCCTTTCAGGAGTCTGATTTGTCTTGCGTACCCCCAAGTTTCACCTCACTTAAAAGTTACTTGCTTACAAAATCAGACAGAAAAATAGTGTCATAGCCCCACTATTACTGAAAAACTGCTTACTGTCTCATTTTTACCATATGATTATAGCATCAATTGGAATACAAATATTGTACTTACATTTCAGTGGATCTGGACACATTTTGGGGAAGAGACCCCTCGTGGTGACTTGCTCAGGCAGTCTGCCAGAGTATTTTGAACTCCCAGGAGGAGTTACATTTCAGTGTAGAGTATATCGAGCAGTATAAACAAGCCATTGTCTGGATGAAATTTTAGTTTGTACTGACTGCGCTAGGGCTTTTTATGTAGCCTGTTGTAAAACTAGGTAAACATCTAGATGAGTTGATGAACCTCCTCAAACACCTCTGGGTACATATACCCCTGGTTGAGAACCACTCAACTAGAAATTCATCAGGGATGCTTTTTTTAGCCTCTGGAGTTTAAAAAAAAAAGGAAAATCCACTAACATTATTCTTGTTGCTAGATCTCATGAATAAATCTCTAAATAAGTAAAATTTGTCTTACCTGTAACAAAGTAGTCAAATGGGAACACAATCTTGACCGTCTGCTGCCAAGCAGAACCCATTTGTATGTAATGGAAATCACAGACCAGAGATTGTGACACTGGCTAATGGTGATGTTCCCAAGCACTAGAATGCCTTGGAGCAGGATCAGAGAGGGTTTCTTCTCCTGGGAGACATGACCCATGCTCATATTTCTACTATAGACTAGCTATGACCATCTCGCACTGGCCTGTCCAACTGTTGACCCCTATGTCCCCTGCTGCTGGTTGTTGAGGGAGAAGGAGATGCACATTAAAAGAGCAGAAAGAATAAGACGAGAGCTGGGAGTTGATCCTTGCCAAGAGGCTGGCTGCTATGTTGGCAGAAGCCTGTGAGAAGCATGAGTCTTTTCACGTCTTAGAGGGATGAAGCCCTCTGCTTCTCAATGGCCCAGGGAAAGGCAAATGGGTCTGGTGAAAAAATGCATTTAAGGTACTCACTTCTTGGCACATACAAACTTGCCCTGTCTCAGTCCTACGGTCTTCAGTTCCTGCAGGGAAATGCATGTGCTATGAAAATGGCAACTAAGCCCAGGCATGGTACTGATAGAGTTTGAAAGATTGCTAAAAAGTATTTAGAACGATCTTTACCTTTTATCCATGTACTACAGTTTTCCTTTAAGGAAAAGAATATTTTGTGCTGATACAACATGTTTCACCCTGAGCTTCTCAACACTTCACAAGCTAGCAAAACCTAGCTACAGAATCCAGTTATCTTAAATCTCAGTTCCCAGCTTGAGTGTTGTGAGGAAGAGGTAGTGGTTAGTCTATTAAACGCCAACATCATTTGTTTCTAAACCAAATATTTTCAACCTTGCCAAATCTTTTGGCATTTCCCACCCCATAACATTTAGCACTTTGCCAGCACAATGGTGAGGTAGACCTTTGCTTCTCACATTGAGGGAAAGTAGGAAACCTAGAACACCTTAGTTCCTCCTTGATTTTACTACTGCTGTACAATCTCACAGTAAAAAGTGACTTGAACAGATCAATGTTGCTTTCTAATCCTGCTCAGGCACTTGAGTTTACATCACAACAGCACCATTTTGCTTTACAAAACACCTAGTTACATTGCCCAATTGCATGAACACTAGTAAACTTGTGGTTTGAAAAGTAAGGCTGTAACTAAACGTATTCTATATTCAATTGCACAAGTATAATTTGTGAGAAACCAAGAGCTGTTCTTGCCTCTGTTAGAAGAGTTTAGCATCCTGACAGTGCCTTGGTTATCTCACCTCCATTTCATGAAAAGGATTTGGAAATAACACTGGTCTACAATTTTTGAGAAGTCGTCTGCTTCAGAGATAAAATGTGCTATTTATTATGTATTTTGATGTGCTGAATTCAAATATGACAATTAAAAC